TACACACACACACACACACACACATAATAGTGTGTGTGTGTGTACTATATATATGTACTATACTATAGGATTCGATATATATATATATATATATATATATATTTCTCGAATCACCACAACCGGTATTCCAGAGAGATGATAGTTTCTATTCTCTCGATGGATGCAAGTTTCTCTCTAATGAACATGTCTGGTACCTTGGGTGCTTGAGTCAGCTGTGAATCTTCAAATAACTCCTTCCTCTGTATAGGCAGAATAACTGTCTCCTTGAGCTCTTGAATAATATTATCAAGACCAGCAATGTTGCTCCACGATATCTTAATATCATTTGGATCAACCAAATGGTTAGCTATTATCATCTCGTAATCCGTTAGCTGATCCATGTCAAAAGATCGTGCATATTTGTCACTCTCTGCTAATTTGCGTAACTGTTCTCGAGCCTAAAATAGTTTAGACATAAGATACAAATTAATAATTGAACTTAAAGCTTTGCTTATAAGCAGGTAATTTATGACTCTAAAATTTTCTTGAAACATATATGACTTTTCACCTTCTTTTTGGCTCTTTGCTTGGTACTCCTGGTAGGATCAAGCTGAGTAATAAGCCACCTCATACTGAAAAAACCAATCGCTGCAACACAAGTTAATCTTGCTACTAACATCAACACCTCTTGTCGCGTGAGACCAGCACTTGCTGCCATGTTCATCGTTTCACTGGAGTATTCAGTGAACGATGGAGATAATTTGCAAAATTCCACGTTGTGCTAAAAGATTTATAGGTTAAAGCAAGCAAAAACAAATTTGTTTAAAAATATAATTATAAAAAATTAATAATAAAAAAATCAGATGTTATAATAACAGACTAATTTTGGAAAAAATAAGTTTAAAACTTGAAGGCTAAAAGAAAAAAGAAAGAATGAAATTTTGTTTGTGAATATTAATATTCTCATTTGTCTTAATAATAATCACTAATAACAATCACTAAAATTTAGGCAACAGCAGCGATTTACCCGCAATCGTTATTAATGCTGGATTGCAATGCGAAGCTATATCTCGATTAATACACTGCTTAATTCCTGGTGACTTAACCTTTCTGAAACTTACTTCATTGAACGATGGAAGCGAACAGCGACTTATAGGTTAGAACAGAACATTAGAAATGAAAAGCATGCGCAATACACACACACACACATATATTATATTAAGCTCATTGCACATGGAATGCATACCAGCGTATTAAGCCACCGGCACACGGTGCTTTTTTGGACACATTTAAACAATACATTTAAACTGTATTGTTAAGTTACATAAAGTATGTAATTTTCCATTAAATAATTTAAAAAAGTAAAAAGCAAAACCAAAATTTTTTTATTTAAAATAAACTATTTAATTTAACTTAATTATTTAACTAAACTTTTTAAATTAAAAGATAAAAAAGTTTAAATATAAAAAAATATAAAAAATTTGTTTCCGTATTATTATATGTATATTAAATATTTTTCTTTGTAACAAAAAAATTAATGTGAAAAAAAGAAAAAAAATTAATAAAATACCGAGAGGCAAACACGCAATTTACACATTTTCAGTGTAGCACCTAATCCTCTACGCTACATCGCCTTGACATATGTCTTATGCTGGATTCAAACCAGCGTGATGACACGATGTGTGATATCTACGATAACGATGATGATATCCTTTTCTTGGAAAAGCTCATTGGATATCGCGCATCGCATATCGCGTCATCGCATTGATCTGAATCCAGTATTAGG